CTGCTGAGGCAGAGGGTGGGGGGAGGGCACAATTAAAGCTTTGGCTCCTCAACAGCTTGAGTCATGCTCCCCTCAGACATCCCCTTTAACCCTCAGCAGCCCCACTTTGCAGCTCCTAGGTGTTAGCTCTACATGAAGAGGCAGCAGCAAAAATAGCTCTGCCCATAGCTCCCATCTGATTAATGCTGCTTCACCCCATAGACATAACTCCCAGTTTGCCACCTCCAACAGCTGCCATGCAGGGTGGGGCTTGGTGACGCTATGCGAGCAAGCGAAGCCAGCAAACTGGCAAAAAGTAAGTTTGATCACTCCTGTCTTATTATTTTATTTGGCTTGTTCATAGTGAAATTATTTCAGACTGAAATACTTACACTTCCTGCCCACAAATCTTCCCTTTTTCTTGAAAGTTTGGAGTATACGATTATCTCTTCCCCCATTTTGAATTTCAGATATCGGCAGTCAGGCCCTATGTAGTCTTTAGTGCCTTGGACTCTGCTCATTGCAGCTGAATATATGTAAAAAGGAAGCAAAAAGCAACTATAATTACTTTTCTTAAATCATTTATCACTGAAAAAGTAAATGAGATGTATATAAAGAAACAACAAAACAACTGTTTATATGTGAATAAAATGTGCTATATGATAATATCACTCTGTTTCAATTCTAAAGTAGAAAGCTTCTCAAAACCGGAATAAACATTGGAGGCCCTATCCTGCTCTCATTTAAGTCAGTGGTAAAAATCCTATTGGCACAGATCCCAGTCCTACATGTGCAGACCATCTTTGAATATTGGCATACACAAAACTTCCAATGCCTTTAATGGCAGTTATGCATGTGGAGCAGCTGCAAGCTTAAGTGTTACATAAATACAGAATCAAAAGACAATATTTTACAAGTATTTTGATTGTTTGACTTTTAAATATTGAACATTTTCACTGGCTTATTTTTCAGCTATTTTAGTCACGTCTTTTTAATGCAAATACAAAAAAGGTAAGTTTAAATAATATAAGCATGTAGGAATATACACGTTGACAAAAATGGGACATTTAAAATCTAGGTTTCTGTTTTTCATTTCAATTTCTTTTTCAATAACTTTTTTAATAGTATACTCCATTTGAGTCCCAATCCCTTCCATACGGCTGTTCCAGATAAGCAGGCACCTGAGCTTGCATAGAACCCTCCGAAGTCAATGGGGCTCCACAAGGGTGCAAATGTCAGCTGGCAAGGTGGATAGGTTCTCAGCTTTGAAAACGTGTAAGTGCAAAACCAAAGGAGGCAGCTGAAAAATTGGCTCCAAAAATATACATGACAAAAACAGGTTTCACAGTGGTAATCAGAGAGGTGGCTTTTCTACAAGTACCCATTTTGTATCACTCCCACTTCTGATTGTGCAGCAAGTCTGGTTAACTCCTGGATAGCTATTTATGCAGACAAATTCACTCAAAATTATGCAGGCCTTTCCTATCTTATTCCTTCACTAGTTTATACCCTTAACTCACATCATAGCAGGAAAAATAACTACAGGGCAAATGAAGAATTGCACAAACCACTCCCCAAAGTCGGCTTATAATGGGGAAAAAATAACATTTTTGCTAAACAAGCATATTAGTGTTCTGTAAATGTTTTTATATTTATTTTACATTTACAGATATATCAATTTAGAAAAAGTATTTCAGTATACAAAGCAGTATTAGAAGTTTCTTAACATTGACTATTTTGAGGAAACTTAGAAAATCATAAGGTGTTAGCACAAAGTTTCTAATGTACTGGTTACAAGAAGTGTTTCCACTGAACTTTGTCCTTTTGCATATTTCCACAGCAACCTCCCACAGGAAGATTTTCCAGGAATATTCTGCCTTTATTGAAAATATATGGGGGTATCCATCATAAGCATAATACTTTGACAACAGTATGTTAAAGCATATACATATCCCAACTTGTCTTTCACATTTTTATTGTACTCTTTTACGTTGTGATTTGAAATGACTGTGTATGAATTTACCAGCTTCATTAACAATAAAAACTTTCACTTACTTTCACATTCCTGATCACCACACATTTTCCATTTTGACAGTAGCTTTGTGCTCTGCAGACTTGTTACAAATGAAATTACTAAAAACAAATTTCTGTAATCCAAAAACTTTGCCATATTAGAAAAGCAAAAAGGAATCTAAAACGTGTTAAAACTATATAAGCAGCATTGGTATTCAGTCTGCAGAAATATCCAAGATTACTGTACTTAACCTAACCAAATGTAGAAAATAGGATCCCATTTTCCTTCCAGCTGCAGAATCTGCTTAAGCAGAGCATTAGATTTCCACAATTTGCAGAGTCAGGTATGATTAAACACATAGGCTTAATAATTAACTAAGTTTAGATAGTTAGACAAGTATTTTGAATACCAGCCAATGAACTCCTATTCAGATTGAAGATCTGAAGTCTCGTGAAAGCTAATAAGCAAATGGTTTAACTATATGTGGCTAGTGGAAAACTGTGGGGCAAAAATTCAACATTTGTGAAGAATTGTAGTGAAAATTATAGTTTATTTCCATGACTGTTAAGGAATATTTTTAAATACATCTTTCAATAGATAGTGAGCTTGTTTGCTCGCATACTGGATCAAGTTCTTGCGTAAACTGATTTGCACAATTGCCTTTATAGTTGCCAACAATGTTTTGTCAGGAAAAATTCCCCAAATAAACCGTAGGTTGAGAGCTTTTTTTTGTCCCCAGACAACAGAATGTTCTGTGTTTTCCAGTGTTCATTAGGTTATTTTTACATTAATATACTGATTCTAAGGATGAATTTCTAAGGATCCTAAATGTCTAGGTCCCAGAGAGCTGAGTTTACAACATAATGTAGATATATTATCCTGAGGTTAAAAAAATATTCTCTGGCTCACATGTTACATACTGATATATCAATATTAAAGTGATCTCTTGTCCTGTTTTTTTTAAGATAATCCTTGTTTGGTGCCTAGCAATCCAAATCTAGCAAGCCACAGTATGCTTTCAAGCAACAATCATATAAAGGCTCACATCCTGAATTACAAATGTATGATTTTGTACCATCGATGTCTCACGGGTACCTTCCTTATAGCACATAGTGGTTCCCATGAAAAATACTGCATCTCACATATTTTATTTTGCTGGCCTGTATTTTCTTGGATATTACTGCATATTCCATCATAATGAAACCATGTGGCAAAAGTATCTAACAGTACGCAAACCACAATCATCAACACTGGAAAAACAGACATAGAATCAGGAAAACTCCAAGGATTCAGGATTTAGGGTAGGTTCTGATAAGCCCCCTATGGATACCACTAAGCAACTACTTTCCCCTTGCCTTGGTATCTCTTCTCTCCCACCTGTACTTGCCACTGTTTTGAGGGTGACAGATATAGGTGCTGGCACTAGGAATGTGAAAGGTGCTGCCACACCCCTGATTTGAAATGATTTCCATTATATACAAAGTTTACAGTTTGGTTCAATAGCTCTCAGCATGAAAGTAAATGCAGTTACTTTCCTAATTGAAACAAAAAACAGGACTTTGTAGTACTTTAAAGACTAACAAGATGGTTTATTAGGTGATGAGCTTTCATGGGCCAGACCTACTTCCTCAGATCAAATAGTGGAAGAAAATTGGCATGACCATATATACCAAAGTATACAATCAAAAAAATGAAAACATATGAAAAGGACAAATCATATTTCAGAACAGACGGGGTAAAGGGGGGGGGAGGTAAATGTCCGTGAGCTAATGATAGATTTTTTTTATCCACTACTTGATTAGTCAATAAGGATTGCCATTACAGTGCTCAGTCTGCCTTACACCAGGTCCGAGGATACACCCCTCCCCCCCGCCGTCGCTGCTCTGCATTGTAAGGGACAGGAGCCAGCACATGAAGATGCTGGCTCAGTCTCTGTGCCCGCGGGTCATTGCTCAGTCCACATAACCTCCCCCACTGTCCCTATAAGGGAAAGGGGAGACTGTCTTCATGTGCTGGCTGCCCAGTCCCTTACAATACAGCATGGCAGCCAGGGAGGTTATGCAGGCTGACCAATGACCCGCAGCAGTAGGACTGAGTCAGCATCTTTGCGAGCTGGCCGCCCAGTCCCTTGTAATGCAGAACAGCAATGTGGGAAGTGGGTTTAATGCTGATGGATGAGAGTCTTGGGACCAGGGACTAAACTGGTGTCTTTGCGCGCCAGCTCCCCTGTTCCTTGTAATGCAGAAAAGCAGAGCGGCAATGTGGTAGGTGAGGGAAATGTGACTAGTCAATAATCCTAACCAATAAGCTCCTGCTTATGGGTTAGTCGACTAGTTACTTACATCCCTTCTTGGCACCTCCACAATACAAATTGTCTGAGCACCTCTGTGACACAGTTAAAAAGAGAGAGACATACAACGCTAACTGCTGCTGCGTTTTGCCCTCTCCTTTTTCCAGTTTTGTTGCAGGCACTAAAGCAGTGAATGAGGGGCATAAGGCAATCAGAGCAGTGAGACTAGACCTAGGACAGACAGATGCAGGCTCTAGTGACAGGAGGAGAAAACTGCAGCCAGATTTTATCCTCGCTCTCCACAGGTAACAGGTCAAAGGAGACTTCTGAACATATCTGTTAACAAAGGGAAACTCAAAATCTTTTGTCTTTGCTCACCACAGACCCTGTCCCCTTCATCAAATTGTCTCCTCTTCCTACGACCTCAGTTTTTTCTCTGCCATTTAGGAGGTTACTTCAATGTTTAAAAAACAGGAAGATTATATTCCTGACTTTAATTATTATTTATATTGTGGATCAAAATGTCAAGGCTCAATACAAAAGAAGACAGAATATCTATCCAAAAAATCTGAATAATAGTGGGACTCCTGAACTGTTCACTTTCCAGCTTCTCTTTTTCTTTATTCTGTGATAAATCTTAGCATGGAACAGAGGGTAGAAACTAAATGACTGGCCTGGGAAAATTGGAGTTTTAGTCCCAAGTACAACATACAATTGCTATGCTTACAAATGGCAAAAGTGAGCACCTTAGTCTAATATTAGCTTAACTCTGTAGTTCTATTAAGAAGACAAATAGTGTGATTCAAGCTTAGATCTCTAGACCATCTTACTTTAAAAATTTGTGAAGCTTTATCTGAAAATGACCCATTTATGCTTCATACCAAGAGGGAACTACTGTGTCCAAAGCTTGCTTAAAATAGTTCAAGAGTGCGTGTGTGAATCTTTTAATAAATATGTTTAAAGTGTTTATCTAAATATGGCTATTCAAATTATGCTGTCTACAGTATTCCAAAGTTTTCTGTTTTGTGTTTACTGTGGACTTTGATAGACTGAAAAATACGTAGACATCTCTGCTGTAGCAGCATCCATCCATGAAAAGACTGTTCTTTTTGTACAATGAATGATCCTATTATTCACTTTTTAAGATTTGAAGCAGTTCAAGGCTGATTGGAAGAACCCTGATCTCCCTTTTGTATGGATTATTTTTTTGTTCTATGATTTCAATAATTAATCAAATTTAGTTTATTTCTTTTCTTATTTATGATTTTTAAGTCCCAGACCTGTAGTCTTTATGAAGACATAACTCTCAGTTACCTTTGAGCTGAGTTCAAAGGTAATAGTTAATGGAGTTTATCATAACAGATTTGCAAAGTACAAAGTTGAAAACTTTTAGCAGATATAAAATGTGCTGTATATTTTACTTCCACTTTGCATATTAAAGACCAGACATATTCTTGCAGTAATTGAGCACGGTCTGTTAGTTTACATGTAAAGATACAGAAATATTAATGAAAACATAGGAAATGTAGATTGACTGACCTGTTTATAGACATTTTCAATATGCAAGCTTGAAGCATGCTCACAAATCTCAAGACTTATTTATAACATCTGTGCATTTTTCTATCATGTGACATACACAACGATGTATTTGACTTATTTTTACTAGATGCTAGACAATAAAAGATTTCTTTGCACATAGGTTGACATTTTGAGTGCTGTTAGCAGTGTATAATGTTAAATACATTATTTAGAAAACAAACAAGTTACTGAATTTTGTTATTTTTCATAACTGCCAGTACCAAAGAATGTTGTAGCTGTGTTGGTCCCAGGGTATTTGCAAGACAAGGTAAGTGAGGTAATATCTCTTATTGGAACAACTTCTGTTGGTGAGACAGAGAGGCTGTCAAACCTCAAACCCCTGTGTTATGCTACCAACAATGAGCATTTACGTTGAAGAATTTAAAGATTAACTGGTATAAAATAACTAATATTTAAATATAAGATTAGAAATAAAATTTGAGAAAAAGAAGTTTAATTAAGCATAATCATTTGCCAAACTATCAACACAGCCTGACAATGGACAAGATACTGCTGGTTAACAACTATCATTCATCTTACTCCAATTATTTTTGCTTTACATAATACATGGAATCATCAATCACAGTTATAGAAAGTGATAATCTCCAATAAAATGCCCAATGCAAACAGTACACAATGATTCATCATTCAATTTTCAGTGCACCATCTTGGGCTTGACGCCAGCTACAGAATACTGATTCTCCATTAATAGGAAAAATGGAAATAAGGCAAACAACAGAATGCTTCCTAAAATTCTGGAATTAGCTATAGCAAGTTTAAAGAATTTCTGAATTTAAAATGACCCTGAAATCCTGAGATTATGTGACTCAACTGCAAACATTTTAAATTGTACCATCTCACAAGCCTCTGCAGCCTAACATAATATCGTGACATTGCTTGAATAAAGCCTGGGGGAAAATAAGGTTTTCATGTAAAATAAGAGGAAAAACCCTCTTTCAGTCTCTGTAAATTATGAGCAAAATTGTGCTTGCAGATCCACACTGTAGATCTGTGGCCCAATATTCTATTTAGGTAATTATGCAACTTATTACCATAATCTTTGAGCATCTCATAATACAAATTCATTTATCCTTAAAGCACGTCTGTGACTTAGCGAATTTTTATCCTAACTTCACAGATGGGGCATAGAAACTGAAAATTAACAGTATAGCTACATTGCAGTGTAAAACCAATGTTAGTGGCACTTGATTTAGCTGACCCTGAATTAGAGAGCCTAGGGCTTGAGAGTCTACACTAATTGTTAAACTTAAGCTAAGTTTGCAGTAGGGAAGATAATTGGCCTGGTACGCAACTCCAGCTATGTGAAAAGCATAACTGGAGTTGGTGTACCTTAGGTCATATTTCAGCAGCAACCCCACTGCAGGAGGTTGACGGCAGAAACTCTCTTGTCCACTTTCCTTGCAACCCAGTGGGTTACATCTTCACTGGCAGCTTCTTGTACAAGAACTGTTTTACGGAAGAGTTCTTGCATAAAGTCTTCCACAA